ACACCCTCCTGAGGGGCGGGCGCAGCGGCAGGAGCAGGGCAGCTTTCCCTGAGCACCGCCAGACCCACCGCCATGGCTGCCCCGGCTCGGGCAAAGCAGGAGGAGAGGGCTGAGACCCTGCAAGAGCCGTGAGGAAGCAGGTTCAGCTCTCCTGCTCTGGAAACGTGTCTGACCGGAGGCCACAGCGACAGGAAGCATAAAAAGCACCACCACAAATCCTCTCTCGGGAGGCTATGGAGCACCCAGGCAAGAAGAGAAGAAGCACGCCTTCCAGGGGACACACAGCTGTGGCCTCAGACCTCCCTCCTGACACGTGAGCCTGTGCAGCCTTGCAGCTACACAGAGCCAGGCAGTGGAAAATGGACTGATGGACAGGGGTAGAGCAGTTGATGTCATCTACCTGGACATGTGCAAAGCGTTCAACTCTGTCCCACACGACATCCTTGTCTCTAAATTGGAGCGACATCAATTTGATGGATGGACACTCAGTGGATAAAGAACTGGCTGGATGGCTGCACACAAAGAGTCGTGGTCAATGGCTCAATGTCCAGCTGGAGACCAGTAACGAGTGGGGTCCCTCAGGGATCGGTGTTGGGACCGGTCTTGTTCAACATCTTTGTCGCTGGCATGGACAGTGGGATTGAGCGCGCCCTCAGCAAGTTTGCCGATGACACCGAGCTGTGTGGTTCGGTTGATACCCTGGAGGGAAGGAATGCCATCCAGAGGGACCTCGACACACTTGTGAGGTGGGCTGATGCCAACCTCATGAAGTTTAACCATGCCAAGTGCAAGGTCCTACACCTGAGTCAGAGCAACCCCAGGCACAGCTATAGGTTGGGCAGAGAAGAGATTCAGAGCAGCCCTGCAGAGAAGGACTTGGGGGTGTTGGTCGATGAGAAAATGAGCATGAGCCGGCTTCAGTGTGCACTTGCAGCCCAGAAACCAACCGTATCCTGGGCTGCATCAAAAGGAGTGTGACCAGCAGGTCAAAGGAAGTGATCCTGACCCTTTACTCTGCTCTTGTGAGACCTCACCTGGAGTATTGTGTGCAGTTCTGGTGTCCTCAACATAAAAAGGACATGGAACTGTTGGAACAAGTCCAGAGGAGGCCACAAGGATGATCAGGGGACTGGAGCACCTCCTGTATGGAGATAGGCTGAGAAAGTTGGGGCTGTTCAGCCTGGAGAAGAGAAGCTGCATGGAGACCTCAGAGCAGCTTCCAGTATCTGAAGGGGGGCCTACAAGGGTGCTGGAGAGGGACTCTTCATTAGGGACTGTAGTGGTAGGACAAGGGGTAACGGGTTAAAACTTAAACAGGGCAAGTTTAGATTGGATATAAGGAGGAAGTTATTTACTGTAAGGGTGGTGAGGCACTGGAATGGGTTGCCCAAGGGAGTTGCGAGTGCTCCATCCCTTGCAGTGTTCAAGGCCAGGCTGGACAGAGCCTTGGGTGATATGGTTTAGTGTGAGGTGTCCCTGCCCATGGCAGGGGGGTTAGAACTAGATGATCTTAAGGTCCTTTCCAACCCTAACTATTCTATGATTCTGTGACTCCTTGCACTATAAGAGCATTGGCTTCAGTTGCTTACTTTCCATACTACAGGGAAGACTAACTGAAGGATAAACTAGTTAAGTGGAGAAAATCCTTCCTTGCAGTCATTTACTGTTATCAACACAGAGCTTTCAATTGCCACCAGAGAAGGCCACCTCAGTCTATATGCATCTCCACAGGCACAGCACAAAGGACAGGACCTTCCTTGACCAGAAACCACAACCTAGATGTGTTTGGGAAGGGGCTCTGACTGGGAAGACCATTTCTGCTCACACAACAACTGGAATGAATAAATTAATCAACAGCAAGGCCACCCTACAGTTACTGCACCCTTTTCATATAGGATCCTCTTGTAAGTTGCACCTGATCTGTAAAGTCTGTCAAACACCCCATAATCATGTTGGAGAAAGAGGTCAATGTGCTGCATGGAAACAACCCAAACACTTGGGGCTTGCAGCTTTTAGTGAAGACATCAGACTTTCTGTGACCAATGCTTGTGGCAGCTATTGAAGGAATTGGCCTTCCCCACCTGGCTTACCTCAGGGCATCAGCTACAACTGCAGCACAACCTTGGCCTTTGCTTGAGATAATCAGTAACTGAAATAATGTGGCTTACAGAGACTGCTGGCTTTAGAGGAAACTTCCACTAAAGGTTGTCGCATTCTTCGGCCATGCCAATTCAACACCAGATCCCAGTCCTGCTATTAAAGACATCCCAATTCATGAGGCTGTATCAGCAGTGATGCGCCTTGCAGGCTGAATACAGGAGTCCACTCCAGGCATGTGTTTATTCTAGCCACATAGATACAAAATATATTCTAAGAAACAGACCAATTAAGCTGTAAAAAAAAAAAATTCTCTCACTAACCAGACATGCCCCAGGCTTTACCACTAAGATGAAAAGTATTTTTCCATCCGACATTATGTTCTAATAGAATTTTTAGACAAATACAGCAAATATTTAGTTCCTAAAGATCTGAGGGAAGCTTGCATTACTATTGGCAGGGGTAGAGGGAAGAAGAAAAAAAGAGCCACAGGCCAAACTTTTCCAGGATTACAGAATTTTGGCACTGAATATGCAACCCTATAAAAGAGCTTATGTTAAAAGAAAGCATTTGACCTAAATCTCAGGCCACTATAGAACATCCCCTATTAGATACCCAATATGTGCATTCAGATGTGGAGAATTTGGGGCTGCTCTTTAGTTGTGATCCAAGACTTTCCTCTCTGAAGAAAAACAGTCTACAAGGGTTAGGGAACATGCTGCCAGATGGTTCTAAGAATGGATTTTTTCAAGCACTAGCAGCCAGTGTTAGCAGCAGCTCAGCTCCTGCAGCAAAGGGGCACTTTACTGTGCCAGACCCCAATGAGACTGCATAAAGCAGGAGAAGGGGAGAGCACTGCCAAAGCTTGAGTGGCAATAACATTAATAGGGACCAACAAGCCCTCAGTGTGCTTCCAAGCATTAAGCATTAGCTCCTGGAGACAAAAACTATCAGATTCCAGACAAGGAGTTCAAGTGAAAAGTACAGGTAGGCACAAAACTCAAGGAGTTTGGCAGCAGCTGAATTCTCTGATCAGAAACAGGCTATTATTATTATTGTCAGCTGATAGGCAGACAGAGGGTGACAGAAAGGCTCAGAAGGCAGTTCCTGAAAAGGAGATGATTTTTTCCCATTACATTAAAAAGATGCTTACAGAAATTTATTGAAGACTCCATCCTTCATGATCATCTCTTCCCACCACCAGTTTTACTTGCTAGTGGTTTTCTGACAGCACAGAAAACACCCTAGTTCTGAATGCCACAAGCCTTTCCCTCCTCTCCTGCCCAGCTTGGAACATAACTGAAAGAACAACACAAGTTGTTTTTTCTTTGCCCCTTTGCCATTTATCCTGTATTTTAGGCATGGCAGTTCTAAAAGGATTCTTAAGGCCTCTGCTCACAATAAGTCAAGCAGCTTACTCCAGTGTAGGTTTCAGATGTAGGTTTCAAAGCACTGCTAGGCAAAACTTGCCATGTATCAGCATACATCCTAAACTACTCAATCCCACCAATAGTCTGGTTTGTGCTTTCAGGGAAAAAATTAAAAAAAAGAACCAACAACAAAACCAAACACCACAAACAAACAAAAAAAGAAACCCAAGTAGCTGGATAAAGGTTCTTTTTTTCTTTGTTTTTAAATCTAAATTGACTTTCAGGTGTGTGAAATACAATGGCATTTCTGTGACTTGGTGAACTTTTTCAGTGGACTCACTGGATTTTTCAAGTTATGTGGGTAAAACAGGCAGAAGTTATAAATTGTTTCTGCCTTTTCTGAGAACTGCCACATCACTTACCCCACACCTGCCAGCAAATTAAATACTCAGAAAAGGCATTAGATCAGCCCACCTGTGAGGGCAGAAAGAAGCAGCTGGGTGCACCAGGATGATGCACGTGCACAGCATCACACCAGCTCAGACACCCCTGATTAAACCATGACTTCCTGTAAATTTGCAGCATGAGTGCCTGGCACAAAAGGTGGGAAACAGCAGGCCACCTTTCTGTTAGCCTCAATCCTGCAGCAACAGAAACAAGGAAATAATGAAGCTAGTAGAAATAAGGAAATGGAAAGTAGTTTGTCAGACCATGCTGAGTAGAGAGAAGGCTTTCCAAAACTTCATTAGCAAGAAATCAGGTTGGCAAAAGAGATAGTAGCACTTGTAGGAGGAAAGATGCCTAAAACACACCTGAGGAAAAGCAACTCTGCAACCATATTCTTCTGCATAGTAGAAAGTGCCACCCTAGTACTGTATGAAAGAAAGGATCCCTTCACCTTGGTCAGGAAGATCTAGACAGAGCCTGAAACAAGAGGGCTTCCAAAGAGAGGTTTCCAAAGCACGCCAAGGATGACAGCTCAGCACCCACTCTGGGTGGATATGGTTTTCTCTCTTACTGCCTTTTGTACTGCTACAAGCTAGTTACAAGAGAGAAATCTGAAAACATCCTTCTTAGCTGGAAAATGAGAAAGTGGCCTTAGTCAGGGACAAAGGAATCAAAAAAGTCTGAAGAGTAATGAACTGCTCTACACAGAGTTTCACCAGTTTCAATTCAAAACCTGTTGGCTGACGAGCACAGCAGCACTGCCAGATCAATTCAGTGTGTTATCAGCCAAGTTATTTCAGAACAAGCCAGCAGATGAGCTTTTAGGGACTATAATCTGAAGCAGTGCCTTTCCTGGCAACACACTGCATGCGCTGCAGAACAGTGATGCAGTCAAGTTTGCCCACCACATTTGGCTTCTCCAAACCACCACCTTGGTGAATGGAGGCCACCTGATCTCCAGGAGTGCTCTTTGCCTCTACAGCTCAGAGAAAGCTCCATGTTCTGTAAGGGGTAAGTTGGCATGAGCCTGCTGCCAGTGTGAAAGCAGCTGCTGATGGAAAGAATAGATATGAGAGCAGACAAGGATCACAAAAGGGAATTCAGAGTTTTATTTCCAAAAAAAGAGCAATGTAGTGTTGAAACAAAAATCAAGTTCAATTAGTTTTCCTCTGATTTGAATGGCTACAAAAATAGATTCTACCCAAATCCATAAAGCCAGTTAACAGTACCATAACAAACCCCCAAATTACTCATTCAGATACCACATACAGTAGTCACAGGAATCTAGCATATATTACTCAATTGTTTTTAAAAGTAAATTTCTGAACTGTTTCCATTATAACTGAAATACCAGATTTTAAAAAATTATACAAAAAATAATTTTAACCCAGTTGGAGGTAACAGTGTGCGTTTATTAAAATCCTGCACCAAGGCAGTAACATTTATAATTTAAAACCCAGCCCAGTAGAAAAGAGAAATGTGCAAACATTTAAAAGTCAGATGTACTCAGAGGCTTGTGGTGCATCGGACCTGGCGATTGACTTCTGTCCTAATGCAAGGTGGGCTCCAAGAGGAGAGGTCTCTAATGAGGCACTAAAGGGGGAGGCAGAGGCCAGCATGCTGCAAGCTGCAGCTCTCTAGCCTGCAATGCAGGAGCAGCGGTGCCTTCTCCCCAGGGACGGTTTGCCCAGTCAGTAGTGTATGGCACTCAATCCAATGCCAGAAAGTCCATGATGAATTCTGGTCAATCTGCTTTTGGACAAAAAACAAAATGCAAAAGCCACTTTACAAAACAGAAGTTGAAAGCTACCGAGAGCCAAGGAGTTGGCATATTCAACAGATGATTGCTGTGAACTCTGGCTACCTCTCCAGTTTGCTTTAAGGTAAGATTAAGAGTTAGACAGGAGCTTCCAAAGGTTTTTTAGCATTTCCTTTAAAACTGATGCAGCACATTTACTTATGTGGCACATCAGGTGCAGAGTAGTACACTACTCTGACAGCAGATTTGCAACCTGAAAATTCAGATCAGAGTTCTGCACTACCACAAACCACTTAAATAAGCTGAATTTTATAAAGAAACTTCATTCTGCTTTCTGCTTGCTTTGGCTACTTCACTGCTCCTGAAATAGGTTTACCCTCACCTACCTCCTCCATTACTTAGTCCATGACCTAACGGGCTTCTTGCCAAATTTCTTTCTGCATAGCTCCTGCAATGACACAAGAAAAGATTCATTATTGCAACGCAGTATCATCCCATCCGCTCCCAGCTGCTGACAGAAGACCAGGATTAGGTAGTGTCCAGAGGAAGTGTGCAGAGCAGAGCAGGTCAGGCAGTCACTTATCCTTATACACCAGCAGTTACCAATCCCACCAAGCTTCCTGCATCCGTTGCAGACAATAGTCCTTTGTCTAGACTTCTGTAGCCCCTGTCACCTGAATGAACATCAGTATTCTAGGGAGAAAAGATAAAGCCCCGCACCCATGGTGGCAGCTGTACAGACAGAATGGGAGCAGAGATACTGAACACATCCAAGTGAGTGTCAAGCCAGGATTAAACTCCAAAGTCCCATCCTCGACCGACTAAGCCCATGTGGCCTGCCCTTTAGATCAGTATGGGTTGACACGAATAGAAACCTGTATGCGAATACTCAGAGTCCTGTTCCTTTGGGATGTGGGAATGTGATCTCTCCTGCTTTTCGGAGAGAAAGAGACAAAGCATTATTCATAAAAATTGCCAAGGGACAACACGTGAAAGAGAACTTGCCTCTCTCTTACTATTGCCTTTTGGTAGTCTGTGGGACACATACATAACCAGATTCCAGCACAGCATCCCTGCCATCACATTGGGCATCCCCCTGCTTTCAACTAGAAATGCCCTCCCTTACCAGCCCAACCATTAGGAACTGCAATTGGTTGATACTCACCCTCTTCCCCCCTCCAGAGTACTCTGGATCTCCTTCAGGACTTCTGGAAAGCAGAGGGTTAAAGCAGTGAGTCAAAACCAGTATAGCTCTGCTTCCAGGCAGCAGCCAAGCCACATTCCACCTCCCAGTAGAACAGCCTTTAAAGCCCACCTCCCACAGTCAGAGATCAGACCATGCATGTAACACCATTGCCTCTTCAGCAGTACCAGGCTGGTGTAAAAAACTGAAGCAGTTACTTCCCAGAGGAAATGTTGCCAATCCCAGTATACCAGAGCCCCAAAGGAACTGCCTGTTCCAGCTGCCATTCTACACAAATCCTGTTAGAAAATAAAGATCCTTCTCTTATCACAGCAGCTATGTGGCCAAACCTCTGCCTGAGGGCATGGCTATCTGTCCAACCCCTCACTTCTAATTCATGAAAACCCAATACTTCTACCAGTGTAACTGCAGACCCCTTGAAACCAAGTACTGAAATCCACAAAATTCCTAGCGGCTTTCTTCTTTTTCACCCAGAAAGGCGCCTGCCCTGTAAGTAGCAAGTCTTCATTTCACTCACTTTCATCGTTGAGCAAGGCATGTTCCATCAGCCTCCCAGACTTCCTTTCTAAAAGAGAGTAGGAAAAGAGCTTTTACTTAACAATATTTTCCCCTTTTCATGAAATATATGCAGTTTTGGAAACCCACACTACAACTGGATTGTTGTACCGTTTGACTTTATTGAATGCTGCATGGCTACTCCTTGAAGCCTCTCAAATACTGAACTATATTTTCTGGCAACACTAGTTTGGCTAACAGATCTCATCAGATTCACTACCTGTTCTTCCCACAGCTTATTCCTTTCAGCAGAAACTCAGTCCTATCCTTTCAAAGCAATTTTGCCACACAACAACTTACTTTAGAGCTAGCAACTACTTTGTCTAAGCAGGTCACAATGTTTCCTTCACGTCCTTCCTTACTTTCCCCTTTCTTAGGTAGAAAACATCGACTGCAGCAACAGGAAAGACGCCTGAGGTTTACACCTCACCATACTACATTTAGTACAATTATTTTTTGCTTACCATCTTCTCCACAGCCACCCGAACTCCTTCCTGATCCCCTAGAAAAGGAAGCAGCAAACAATCACCAGCTTGGAGGCATAGGGACGCAGAGAATTCATGTATATTCTTGGCATCTACAAGAAGCTGCAGTGCATGCTAATTAAATGGTTTATTGAGCAAGACTGTCAGAAGGGCTTTATCATGTGTTGCGATGCAGAAGCCAGCACACATCAGAAAACTTTCCTAAACTTTTGGAATAAAATTCATATAGGATGTCCATGAATGTCAGATCTACTGTTATTTCCTGATGTTCCAAGATGAGAGGAGGAACTCTCCACTGTCCCTTCATAGAGGAACAGTTCAGTCTTGCCAGTAACAGCCAGCCCCTGAAGAGTACAACAGTCAGGTGTCAGTCAGACACATCATCTGGGAACAAGTAAAGCAAGCCAAGGCTTACAGTTTGTGACTAACCACCCAGGGATACCAATTCCAATACTTTGTCTACTACTTTGTCCCATCAGCTGTACTGCAAATAGAAAAAACATCAGGAAGAAGGTTACATTTCCTGATGCTGATCCATCTAGGAATGTTGTTAACATACTTCAAAGTCATCTTTTTTGTTGGTGTTGCTGCTGCCTTTTTTTGTTTTGTGTTTGGTTGGTTTTGTTTGTTTTCTTCTCACTACTCAGACACAGCCAGTGCGCAGGAGTTTTCCAGACTTTACCTGGATTTTCTTGCAGCACTCTCCATGCCAGACTTGGTGTGCACATGGTTGTTACTTGTAACTTCTGGCATGTCCACAATGCACCGCGGCTCCACTAACCATTTAGCAGAAAGGGAAAACCTCTCAAACTCCGATGGCGAGATCAGATAGAAACCTATAGATGATTGGGAATTTATAAGCAATTCTCAATTCCAAGAACTAAAGGTGATCCAAAAAAAAGAACAGATCTAAGTATCCTCTATGTTTGACAGAAAGGGTTGCAATTCCTCCTGTCTAAATGAACCATTGAGGAAGGTATTACCCCAGTTTCCCAAGGATTGGTTAGCCTAGAGACTGGGCAATTTAAGATGATGCAGAGAACTGTACTGTGCTGGCACTTGTCAAAAGCAGCACAGAAAGATGTGAAAACTGAACTGCAAAGCAGCAATTCACCCTCAGCAGCCAGAGGATACTGGATCCCAGTTTTGCAACTTGAATGTTGAGCACATACAGGAGGCACCATGCAGGTGCCTGCTGCTTACAGAGCCATCCTTTTGATTCCAGACAAGAGGAGAATGGCCAGATGGAAGCTACCCAGGAGGTACATCCTCCCTGTTACATGAAAACCACCGTATGCATTAACAATGATGGAATAAATTCACTTCTGCTAATTCACCTGTCAGTATCTGTTGGCATTTGGTGCTGGCCAGAAACATGTAAAGAACATATTTATGTAACATTAACATGTATACATAGCCAGGTCTAAACACTAAGCCCTATAATCTCTTTTCCATTGTCTGAAACACACAACAGAGGTAAGTGATTTGGGAGAAGCACACCTTACCTTGTCCGTATTTGGTGAAGACACAGGATGCAATGCCACTCACATCCTCTTTGCGGATGCAAGGGTAGCGGATCTGTAACTTGAGGAAGGGCAGCGAGATGATCTGAATGTCTCCCAGGTTAGTCAGGACAGCAAGGTCATTTTCACTGTAATCGTCAGTCTTGCAGCTGCTAAAGTTCGCAACTGTCACCTTCCGTACCCTACAGCCTTCCAGGGCTGTCAGCTTGAGCTTCAGTTTGGAGCTAACCTTAGGTAAGGTGAATACCTGTCATAGAAACAAGATACTGACATATCCTTCCTGCACAATGGCAGCAGTCACTCCCCGGACATCTGCTCCTCCCTCCTTTAAAGCCGTTTTCATTCACAGTGAATACACACCAGTGTAATTGAGTCAGCCTGGCTCCCTGCTCACCAGACAAGAAGGAATCAGCCTCAGTCAGTGTTAGAATCTGTTGCTGTTCTGAGATCAAGCAGTCCTAACCTTCAGGCTGCAAACTGCATTTATCTCCCTAGTTCTTTCAAACCCCCTCCAAATTTGGGTACAAATTATTACAGAAATAGAATGGGGTTTACACTAACCATATTTTCTTCCACATTATTTTTAATGTAGGCCAGCCTACTGCAAGCTACTTCAAGTCTTACACTGACTAGTTCAGTGTGGAAAGCAATAAGCTTTTTAGCTGCTTCACAGAAATGCCTACCAATTTCCACTTTTGTACTAACCACAGCAAAAGCTCTTTCCCAAAAATGGGAGCAGCCTTGTCCAAGGAGTATAATGGAATACATAAACACAATTTTCATGTTCAGCATGTACATCACTATACCGAATACCCAATTTGTCAGCACACACCTGATGTATGGACTGCACCAAACAGAAGTGCTGGCCCAGAGGTGTTACTCAGGTATGTAAGAATATGCACTCTCAAGACTTATCTTCCCACTGAGCAGGGCTCAGTGCTTTAGCAGATTTTACATGCCTCCTTGGTGATACTTGCCTTAAATTGCTCTTCAGACACCACCAACAACTGATGGCTGCCTTGCATATCAGGACTCTTAGAAAGGTCATGTGCTACTTCTAGAGGTTCTGGGAGGGGCGTGCTGCGTCCATCCAAGACAAGTATACCCACAACAGGAGCCCTGTGCATCAGCTGAATTTCTTTGGCTAGACAAGCAAGATAAGCAGGAAAATAATGACATAGGAGTCTAGTCAGATACTCTGTGTTAGAAACTCACTCACACCCTCTCAGTTAGAGACCTACCCAATATGGCTCTTCCCTGCCTGAAAAGATTTACTAGTTAAAGGGTATTTGAACCGAACCAGTTTGTGTTAAACAGTATCTATTATTACATAAAGAATGCAGGTCCAGCTGTCAGAATAAGGTACACGTGCACGGAGGCTTGCAGGTAAACTTCAGCAACAGCCAACACAAATTTAAATTCCTGAAGCTGGTAGGAAATGGGGCTAAGGCATATCAAGCAGTGCTGGAGCTCACTTAGCCTTTAGTTCAGGTGCTGCAGTGAGCACTGTTTAGCTCAGACACTGCTACATGTAGCTCCATTCTCACAGACAAAACAGCAGTAACTGAGCTGCCTTGCATTCTGTATGCAACTCTTGGTTATATGAGCGATAGCTCACATCCATTAGGACTTTGTTTTCACAAGGCATACTTACCCTGCTCTGCCCTGACAGGTTCATCCATTCTTCTCTCTGCTGGAGGAACACGCAAACAGAAGGCATAGACTGTACCTCCATTGGTGCCTGCCCACAAGGATGGGCAGTGGCGAGAGCCTAGAGCAACAAGAAGGCTCATGAGCAAGGCACCATCTGTGACATCCTTGGATAACTGCTTTCCACTACACATCCCTGCTCTGTTAACACCCTGAGTATCAATATGTTAGGGCAGACTTGCCATGGAAACTACAGGTTCTTGCACTTCTTTTCCCAATACATGCATATCAGCAGCCCTGATAAAGGACATGGCTTGTGAGTAAAGGCAAGGCAGCGCTGTTTTCAATCAGACACCACAGCTGCTGCATCCAGTTTTCATATATTTATATCCCATGTGAGCAGAGTAAATTTGTGCAAGGTACAGTTTGGGCTCTGATGCACAACCAGCCACTACCCTCACCAAGATCAAAAGGCTCTGCTGCGGGCAGGGAGAATTTAGAGTAATGAGACAAAGAAAATACCTTACACTAAAAAGTCAGATGTCATTCCAGCACATTTTAAAATTGCACATAAACGCTGCATCCACAGATGCACTACTGCTTGCTTTGGATTAACCAGCAGCCAGAATGGCTAAATAATTCTGCATGACAACATATGCTCTTGTTCTATATTAGTTTTTCAGCATCGACAAAGTAGGACACAAGAGATGCCAAATTTTCCTGGCAGTAAATCCTAATACATTCCTTGGCAGGAGGAGTAAAAATCTATTTGGAAGAAAAGAAAGATGTATGTTCTACTCACTGTCTCTCAAGAAGGTATCAGCAAAATATAAGGTTCGCACAAAGCCAGTGAAAGAGTCTTCTGCAGAGCGGGCTTCAATCTTCCGCTGGACTGGAGCCAGTTCCATTTCCTGCAATGTGTCTTGGTCAAATTTGGCATTGGCTTCTTGCACCTTCAAAGATGACAAGACATTCTGTCAGTCAGGCAAAGACATGGGGAAGAACCAGAGATAGTGAAAGTGGCAGCAATAGAAAGGGAAAGCATCATCATACCAGTGAACCAGTGCATCCTACATCCCATGATCAACTATAGACTACATCTTCTCTAAAAACATGACTAACAGAGCAGCATCAGAAATTGCCATTTTTGCTCTTACGTCAATAGCTACCGGTACCATAGCAGGACTGCAGACCACCTCCTGCTCTCAGCAGTCTAATCAGGACCCCGCATGCGTCCTGGGTTCAGCTGTAACAGTTATTTTTCTCCTTCTTAGTAGCTGGTGCAGTGCTGTGTTTTGGATTTAGTCTGAGAATAACACTGGTAACACACCAATGTTTTAGCTGTTCCTAAGTAATGCTTACTCTGATGATCAAGGACTTTTCAGTCTCATGCTCTGCCAGTGAGGAGGGACACAAGAAGCTGGGAGGAAACAGAGACAGGACACCTGACTCAAACTGGCCAAAGGGGTATTCCATACCACAGCACATCATGCTCAGTATAGAAACTAGGGGGAATCACCCAGAAGGCCCAGATTGCTGCTTGAGTCGGGCTGGGTATCGGTCAGTGGGTGCTGAGTAATTGTATTGTGCATTACTTGTGTTTATTGCTTTTTTTTTTTCCCTTATCATGATTATTATTAGTGGCAGTAATAGTAGTAGTTTTGTATTATACTTTAGTTATTGGACTGATTTTATCTCAACCCGTGGGGTTTACATTCTTTCAATCCTCCTCCCGATCCCACTTGGAAGGGGGGGAGGGGGGAGGGAAAAGTGAGCAAGCAGATACCTGGTGCTGAGTTACCTGCTAGGCTTAAACCACGACAATGCTCCAAGCTGTAAACCGACAAGACTCCAAAAATGACCACTCACCTCTGAGGCATTTCCACTACCTCCTCGTCGCTTCCTACTGGACACACGGCTTCTTCTGATCCGCCTGAATGATTGACGGAGGGACTTCTTCAAGGATTTCACCCGAGACAGTGGGCCTTCTAAGGCCAACTGGTCACTGGGATGCAGCGTACACCTGAAGAGGGTGACAGGAGGCACACGGTCACTTTCTGCTGGGTGGCAATCACTCTCAAAAAGTCCAGTGGGACACAAACAGATGTCAGAACTTGCTTGTGTGTCCTTGAAGACAGAGTCCATAGAGGCAGGGCTTCTTGCTATGTTGACTGCTCTCAAGAAATCACTTTCTTAGCAATTCCAGGCTATCTTTAACAGAGGATTACCACAGACCTCATGGAAAGAAGACACTTACTTGACAAAGACCAGTCGTTTCTGCTGGTGGTCAAAAAGCCCAAAACCATGACTGGTACCAAAGGCCACAAGCTTCCATTCAGAGTGAAGGGCCAATGAGGTGACCACAGCTGGTGGTTGACACTGGACAAGGACAAATGGCTGAAAACCAGCTTCAAATCGAACAGGTCCATCTCGAGTTTTTAGTTTCTCATGACCTTTCCATCGATAGCCCTCTTGGTCCTGCAGAAGATCTGCTTCAGCATGGTCCACAACATGTTCTGCATCTTCATCATTCAGTTCCATCACCAGTACCTGAAATTCAAATTTTAACATATCTCCAGAATACACTGTGACAAACCTGCACTAAAAGCAAGGTTTATTATGACTGTTTTATTTGAATACCTGTCCTGCTGTACCAGCTACAGCCAAGTATCCACTGTATTTACACAGGTAGATCTTCTGGATCCCAAGTCTAGGATCATCACTGTAAGGGTCAAAGGTCCCAACCTATGCAAGAGAATGCACAGTGGTTGATCTTTGCAGCTGCATTAACTAGGACAGGAATTATAACTCCTCGGGTTTTCAAAAAGCTCCTACAAGCACCAGCTATCTCACCTTGCGAAGCGGAGGCCACTCATCCTCACCTAGGGTGTTCATATTGTCATTGGGATCAGCATCGGTGAGAAATACTCGCACTGTACTCAGCTTATAAAGGAGATGTAAGCAGACACCAGACGCATCCCAAAACCTCACAGTGCCATCTTCATGCCTGCAGTGGGGAGGGTTACAGAAACACACATCATACAGGAGAACAGCACAGCGCTAGCCGAGGATGGTAAAACAGGGGGGAAAAAACACACCAAAAATGAAACCACGCTGTTTACAAAGCCCTGAGCTGTAGCAACTTAGAGCTTCCAGAGAAAGATTTTGTGGAGCTTTTTGTGGGGTTTGGTTTTTTGTTTATGTTGTTGGTTTGTTTTTTGTTGTTGTTTTTTTTTTTTAACTTTGAATCCAGTGTGTTTCCAAGGCTCTGACACCCACACACAACTTAAGATTTCTCCAAAAAGCACTGAAAAGTAAAAAAAAAAAGCTTAGCCTAAAGAAGGAATAACTCAGGCTCACAAAAGTTCTACTACTGGGAGGGAAAGAAAGAAATCAAGCTTCAATATTAGTTCCCCAGGTGAAAACGAAGGACTTCTAGCACAGTGCTGCATCAAGAATGAAGTCTGAAAAACAGCCCACTGACATTTTTAAAAGTGCTTTTTAAAAACAAAAAACCAAAATCCAAACATGTTTATGGGATGAGACAATCTCTTGCTACTTCCACCACTTAGCTAGATTTGCTCATGCTCATCAGAGCAGACAGAAGTCCAAGCTAACCTCTTTTTTTGAGATTTAGGACAGTGTAAGGTACGGAGATAAAATGCTTCAAAACCTGCAAGATTAAGCTCTGCTTTACACTGTTCCCTTTGAATCAGTTTGGATTACTGCATGCGCTTCTACACTGGTGTTTGGGGGGGGGATGGATGACATCAGAACAACAAAGAAGGCAACTTCACACATTATCTGTGGTCATCACAATCTGTTAACTCAGTTGTAGCAGAATCAGCTGTACAAAGCTGGCAACCCAGCTTTGAGGAATTGCACTGTAAAGTTGCAGCCTTCTCACTAGGAGATGAGTGGACTTGAATCTCATGGGAAAGCCTCAGTTAGTTCAAAAGGAAGAGCAGAAACTGGAAAGGGCTCCTTGATTGTTATCAGTTAAGTACATACCCTGTTAGAAGCAAGTCCCTCTGTGGAGGATCTGGAGCTATGCTGGTGCCACCATCAATCGGCCACGGCTACAAATACATTAAGGGAAGACTGTGACTTTCTAGGCAGTGACAGTGTGAAGAGCATATGCAGTCAGCAGGGGAGCATGAACTTCAGTACAAGTGGTAGTGAAACAGTCCATGCTGTTAGCTTTTGTTTGGATTAAATGTTCCTGTTCTGACACTAGCTGTGCTTTCTAAGAGACATTCTACATATTTCCTCAAGAAGCTGTGCTGAAAGTGGGAACACTCAGACTTTCCTTCTAGCTTGTCAGAGCCAGAAAAAAACACCACATTTTAATCCCCCGGTGTGAGTAACTGCCTTGGTGATGCTCTGGGAAAAAGCCTCTCTCGACCCTATTAAGGGGCAGGACAACGTCTGTTAGGACTCATCCCTTCACATGCAGTTAGCAGCACAGACCACCCACATTCCAAGCAGTCATGCTGTTCTTAAATGCATGGGAACCCACATCCATTTAAAACCATGACAAGCTGCCATACCATATTTGAGTAGTGAATGTTCTGCTTGCTCCCAGCACTGATAATTCTCTCCCACAGTTTGAGCGGGATGTTGGAGATGTGGTGTGAGCAGGTGATAGCTGAGCAATGGAGAGAAGCCAGGTATGGAGGATGGACTGCTGGCCAGCCTGCAGTTTTCAAGTCTATAACTACCAGCTCTTCTTCTGCCAGCACCACCATAGCAGAAGGGTCATCAAACTCTGCAGGAACAAGATTCATTCAGGCTGACAAAAATGACTATCCAAGGTTAAGAGAAACAAGCTTCCCATCAGGCTTATTTGAAAACTGCTATCAGAGTTCTAACACAAGCATTTTTGTTGGCAAATCTTTTAACTGCTTCTATGTTAACTGGGCCTACTGAGGCACTGACATTAATAGTTTTCAAGATATCAGTAGTTTTACTGCAAATTCATGTTGCTTTACAGCCCTCCTGGGACTGTCAGAGTGACTCATTATAGATTCCACTGCAAAATCAAGAAATCTGTTAACAACATACCTGGCTAAATAAAACAAATTCAGATTCACCATTTTAACAGCCTGAAATCCAAGGACTCTACCTGCTGCTAATGACCAGCATGGGGTGGACAGACACATAAACATCCCAGCAGTGACCCATTAAGTACTGGGTTAGGCCCAGAGTCCACTGAGGCTAAGCTGCTTAAACACAGTAATGCCATGGGTCTGCAGAATGCTTCTCTGCTTGAACTGACAGGTATTTACAATTCAGCTCTCTTACTTTTCATTTGCCCTGCTTCTCATATGTTGTGACACATCCTCTGGACTTCCTTTTTTTTTTTTAAGTGTGCACATCATCTAATATATATTCATAGGTATATTTAACAGATTTAATTTGTAATCTTGTCTATGTAACTTTACAGATGACACCTGACAATCAAGAATTTAAGATTTTTCATCACGCCTAGAATTAAAGCAAAAAATATTTAGTGTACAACGTTTTGGCAGGAACATTCACAAGAGCCACAATAGCAGCTGGTGAGGAAAACCAAAACCACAAATCAGTTGACACCAACAATATTTAACATAGCTACAGAAATCTAAGTGAATGCATCACTAATGTGTCACATTGCAAGAGGAGGGGTAATATACAGTGAGCCACAAGCAAACTAGCAACATTGTCCTGACCTTCCCTGATAACCTATGCTTTTACTTCCCTTCTTTAGTTCATTACATGGAATATACTTGCAAGATACAGCACATCTATATGCAAGCACATACCAACACTGTTCACTCAGCAAAATTAATTTCAAGTAATTAGTACTTGGCCTCACTCTAGTTAAGGCACCCCATGTTTCACGTCTGTCTAGCCACAGCTGTAACTCAGTAAGAGTTCAGTTTGTTCATGAGAAAGTCTTTTATATGTAGTTTTACTTTGCTTTCTTATGTGCCATCATCTGCAGGACTTCTGAATAGAATAAATACTACCATAGCTGTACTATGCATGGTCAGCCCTCCACTGACTGCTGCTGCCAACATTAACCAAATACACTCTGGTTTAATTCTATTTTTTTTTCTTGCAAAGGCACACATCTGAGGTCATTGCTTATGGCAAGAATCTACTTTAAGCTGCTGAAGTAGCAGGCATACTAGAATGTGTCATGACTGCCATACACTCATCCACATGCTAATTTAAAAAACAAGAAAACAGGAAGGGCCAGCCTTTAAAAAATTGTTTCCACAGCATATTCAGGGTGGTGGAAAGTCACCTGCTACCACCATGCTGCAATGCATAAGCTTTGTGCTTATTAAATTAAGTGGCTTCGGTGTACAATTAATACCTTCATACTGTCATTGCAGGGAAGACTGCTTAAGGGCAAAAAAAGCAAGCTGCATAGACCCACTAAGCTTAGGCAATCAGCCACGAGGAAGCTTGTCAACCACAGAAACCTCATTTTATTGGAAAAAACCTTCCTCATCTAGGTGCAACAGCTTCAGTAGCAGCTCCAGTCTGTGCCCTCTAGAAGTCCTGTTAACTAGAGAATTCAACCCTTAGGAAGCATACTATAAAGCCTGTTAAGTTGTTACTTCATCCTAAAGGGCTTCTAATCATATCCAGGAATTCAACTTCAAGAAGTCAATCTCCTACCCAAAAAACCTCAGATTTATTTCTTTCATTTTTAGATACTTTTGTCCATCTTCTATAATCTCAGCTCTGACAACTCCACAAAAAGTCAAATAGTCTAGTTTCTTCAATGGTTAAAGCTAAACAGTACCTCAAGCTTGAAGGTTTAGACTTACACATTCTGCATATTTGGAAGATGCTTATAAAAGGCAGTGCTGTGTAGGGAAAGATCTATAACAAACACATACATGTACTTCATAGAATAGTTAGGGTTGGAAAGGACCTTAAGATCACCCAGTTCCAACCCCCCTGCCATGGGCAGGGACACCTCACACTAAACCACGTCACCAAAGGCTCTGTCCAACCTGGCCTTGAACACCACCAGGGATGGAGCATTCACAACTTCTCTGGGCAACCCACTCCAGTGCATCTCAGTTACATTCTGCCTATGCCTTTACTGGTTCCTTTTCAGAGACCTGGGAGGGTCTGTTAAGGTCTAGGAACAAACACAGAGAAGGATCCAAAAGCTCTCTCTTTATGCTGACTTTCCCCCTGGATCTGTGGTCTGAGGGAGCCAACCTGCATCAGTGTACCTGAATGCCCATGCCTGCGGGGAGCTGTCACCACCACCACGGGCAGCACATATGAGAGAGAAGTCTGGAAACTAGTCTACTAGGCAAATCAGAAACTAGAAAGCCTGACAAGATTCACCAACAGAAGATTTGAGTACCAGCTTCTAAAAAGCATCTACAGACTTCTGCAATCTGGTCTAACCCAAATCCCATTACTGCACATTTGTGAAGCTTGAAATAGCATTTTTTACTTAGTTACTTCAGGTTAACCAGAAGCAAGAACTGCACCAGTGTTAGACAAACAGTTCCTGAGGAAAATCCTTTATAATTCCACAAAAATAAAGAATATTACAATTTCGCTGGAAATAAGTGAAGCAAAGCTCTTCAACAAAAGCAAGAATCTGAGAAGCTCAACGCAAGCTGCGGAACACGTGCTATTTAGATTTAGAACTGCTTACATTCATGTTCACTGGCAGTAAGTAAATTAAGTTCTCTATACACTGACCCTTGGTTCTGTGTCAGCCTTTGCTGATTTATTACCAAGGGCCCTAGTCATAAATATAGGTAGTAATTAAAAGAAACAGTAGGAGTAGTCCTCAGTAGGAGTAAATTCTGGTTTTAATTATTGCCTCCTTTGAAGTGTTATTTCCAAACAGCAATATTTAGATCCTCATTTCACAACCTGGTTATGTCCACTGTCCAGTTTACAGAGACATGAACTTAAGAGATCTTTTCTCATTAATGGCGCAGCTTAATTTTTTGAGGAATGTATGGCATTTGTAACCAGCCCATTCTTTATACCAGTATTTTACACTTTCCAATGGCAAATCTTTTCTACGGTTAGACTCATCTTAAGGTCTTTTCCACCCTAAAAGATTCTATGACTTTCTGTTAAAGTCTCAGAAAACCTGCAGAAAAATGACCTCCTTATTGTATTTTATATGCTGTTTACACCAGGCAGATATCCACATGCCTACAGTTATTCCAATTCTTCAGTATTTTCCTTTCATCACATACCTGCAGTAGGCTCCGAACTGAAGATTATAAAGAAGTCTATCACCCGTGATGTGAAGTCAAAGGCTGTTTGCTGACTGCCATGGACAACAGAGATACTGTGCCGGTCACCATAGCTAGCCCGGGGCATCCCTCCTTGGAATATAATGTAAGGAAGCCTTAAGAGGAAGAGAGTTAGCGATGTACGTTGAAGCAAGCCGCAAGCAAATTTCAAAGACATGACGCAAGTCAAATATTCTAAAAAACACTTAAAATGTTCCTCTAAAGGGCTCTTACAGGACAGGATGCAGCACCCTTTAAATGCCTTGAAACAGCTAAAAGTGAAGGGATACACCACAAACTCACCCATTTTTTGTTGTCTGCCAGTAGATCTTGGAGATGGCCTTGCAAGGAAAAGGACCTAAGAGAACAGAGTTATTTGCTGTAATTCAAGAAGCACATATTTATGTGAAGTTCCTTATTCTGCTTCACCGAGGTCACCTCTACCTCCAAGCCAAGGGGAGCCACCTGAATTAGCAGGCACCACCACCTCCTCCCCAGACCAAGCCACATCAGAAAGTCTTCTGGGACACACTGACCACAGGACTCCCCAGCAAAATGAGGGCTTAGGCTCAGAGGAAGTTTTGAACCCTGCTGCTGATGGCTAACAGGGAGTGGAAGTGCTGTTGTAGAAGGTGATTAACTAGAGAGGACTGTTAAAAACATGGGCATTCCTGAAACTAATGTAAAGGCAACAGAGCTTTAGAAGCTTCTTCAGAGCTTTAGAATCTTTCTTTCTGCCTGAAAGATTAGGTCATCCCCATTTGTTGGGTTTCAGTAAATCAGAGGCTTCATTTCATCACTGCTCAGGTCGACAAAAAAGTACACTTAGCTCACTATTAATTACAGATGATCCAAGTAACTCCTGCTGAACAGGACACTTGAACTGAACAAAGAACTGAATCACCAACACTCTTCATAAAGGGCACTAATTTCTTCAGCACATTTGCTCTCCATGTTCAGGACAGACATCTACAGGATAAAGGAGTTTAAAAACCTGAGGAAAACACTGGACTGAAATCCCTTAGCCTAGGCTCATGAACCATTCAAAAGGCAGCTCTGCATTTTGCCATTACAATTAAACACTAGGAGAGCACAGCTTGAATATCCTACACAAGCTCAAAATGAGTTTAGACAAATATGCAATAATTAAACCTCACTTACTGACCATAAGGCACAAGGTGTTCCAGGGGCTCAGGCTGCCTGTTGTCACTGGATACTGGCCACTGGGTGTAACTTCCATCATAGTGACAGCTAACGAATTTACTGCCATCCCTCTGCCAGTAGAGGTTCTCCAGTTGCTGAAGAGAAAGATATGCGACAGCTCTCCAGAGAGCTGTTAACCCCCCCAAAACCAACGCATTCTTACTAAAGGAAAGAAGCTTTGTCAGGCTGCCCCCGCACCCACACTTGTCTTCAGAGTGCCTAAGAGGGGAGATCCCTTCCTCCCCTGCTGAACTGACTTTGGGTTAAATGAATACCTGAGTGCCCAGAAAAAGGTGTGTCACTTTGTTATTTTGCAGGTCCCAGAGGAAAATCAAGCCCCTGCTGTATCCAATCAGGATCTGATCAGGGTTCTTAGGATGTTCTTGAAGGGCTTCCACCAATTCACATGATCGCCTGTTACAGTAATCTTCTGGTACCCTACAGAAGCAGAAGAGAAAAACAAGGAAAGTTTATTCCAGGTATAATCTGACTGTAATAACAGTTAAGGTGTAAGAAGGAGAAATTAAGTAACAAAAAGTTCAAACAGGTGAGAATAAGTACAATCTTTCCTCAAATCCTTCAAAAGCAGCAGAAAAATCTTACATAAGACATCACACCAGGCCTCCACATGAACATGCATCCAGTCCCACTTGCTTTATGGAAAACCCAGGGTTTATAATGAATTCCAAGACTGGATCCCAGGAATGTAAATACAGTCTGAATAGGCCACCCTACTCTCTTGGTACCCTTACAGAATAACACTAACGTGGAAATGTCAGTAGGAAACAACAGGGACATGAATTAGGCCAGTTTTCACCAGCACTTAAATCGGAAAGTGACAAAAAACTCAGCAGAAAAAGCAGCATCAGAAGTTTCACTAATGGTCAAAAAATCACATGGATGATTTGCTAAATGTAATGCTTTTTTGCAGAAGTAAACACCAGGGACAAGGCACAAGGTCTGCAGATTTACTCCAAGTCTCTCCTGTACCACTCTGTCTATATGCTGTGCCTCCATGGTGACAGTACCAGTTGACATGACAGAAACCGCTGCTTAACAGACACCAGGACCAAAAGTTCCTTTCACAGGAGTCAAGCAGATTTGGACAACAGTGAGGCCCCAGTAAATAATCTAGGGTGACATTTTAACAAAGGATGTGTCTGCTAATGGCATTCCAGCTCTACACAGCAGTACTCGTCTGCTCACTCACCGCTGCAGCACAGCCTCAGAGGTTATGGTCCTGTCCTCCAGCACTCTGAATGATGGAAGCTCCACTACAAAGATGTTGCCACTCTCCGTGCCAAGATACAGGACTTCCCGTGAGGAATGGGGAAGGACAGCTGTTATCTGCGTGGCACTCGGTGGAGACCTGGGGAAGCAAAGAAACACTCTTCAACTGCACGCAAAAAGACTCGGTACTGCACTCAAGAGAGCTAACTACTCAACGGGGATATTTACAAGTGTCATTTGTTTTATAGGCAGAGATTGAGCCAGGCATGACTTTTTGGAAGGCAGAAAACGCTATCTTTAAGATAAATTACATCAAAAGACATTTGACAAGCACATGAAGAAAGATGCTGATGCCTTTTTACAGAAGCCTCTCTTACTAAGTGTCCCCAAAGGACCTAAAAATAGCTCACCCTCAACTGGCAAGATCAAGTGAAACTAAAACCATACTAATATTTTAAACTCTGACTTAAGGGGTGCTTAGATTTACTTAACCTTAAGATTTACAGCTCCTGTACACACAGAAGTGGATGCACGATATTAAAATTATGTCACCCTTTACATTGGTATAAGAGATGGTCTCCCAGGCAACTCCTGTCTGGTTTCCATGGATGACCTTTTAATAGAGTCAGAGGAGTGAGTCTGTAAGAACAGGACAAGCTCTACCTAGAACAACAGCAGGATTTTCTAACTTGCTTATCTCCAGACAAGCTCAAAACATCTCTTGCAGATTACCCAGGCGGTCCTTTCAGTGTGAAGCGATGCTCCTCCCGCAGCTCAGAGGCTCCACCATGCTGCTTCAAGCTCCAGAGGTGCAAGCTGTTGTCATCCAGCAATGTCACCAGCTGGCACTACAAAACCCACACAATATGCTTTTTTTTTTCAGAATCACAGTATTAAATATAACATAGTGAATCTAGCAGTAACGCTGCTGCTGTTCATAATCTTTGTCAGAACAGGACTTGGGTAGCCAGCCACAGTTTTTTATAGCAGTGAATACTTATTGCAGCATAGCTGTTAGCTCACAGTAAGAGATCTGAGGGGAGGTGGGGGGTGAAGAGTAGGAGGGACAAGAAGCAGCCTAAAGGCTAAAAACCCTCTTATACAGGATAAAGGCACAGGTTATCAGTGAGTTGGGTGACAAGGATTTAGGTTCTCGAGAGCCATCAGCCTGTGCTGTGAAGCTCAGCAGGGCAGCTACAGGCTGCTTGCACTTGGTGTGGTTTGCTGCAACACACCCCAGCTTTGGGTGGGGCTGATACACTCTACTACACCACACTCCTTGCATTCTTCATGTCCAACCTCATTCTGCAGGGTTGTGTCAGAGTCCTTTTATGAGCCCAGCCCTGCTGGCTGTATGTTCAAACTGAAGCATTTTACCTGCTGAAGCCACACCTGGTGCAACACTCCCCGTGGGAGTTTCAGCTTATACCATTATTTAAGCAGACAGACACCAAAAACCACCTCAAGAATTAAATCCTTCTCATAAAGAGGCGACTCATGCTATACGGGGGGCATCAAGCAAACAGTATGTGGCCAAGACACCAGTCTGCCAGCCAAGGGACGGGAAAGTGGTTATGCAGCCACCAGACACGTGGAAAGCTCTGCCTTCCTAATTTTAGTTTGTGGCAATAACTGTTCAGCGATCCCCAGGAGCAAGCTTCCATACCCCAGAACACAAAGGCAACAAGCTCAACAGGAGGCAAGGTTAGCGGCACTGCTCTGAACTCCTGAAAACAACCAAGGCACTTCAGCAGCAGCTCCTGTTTACTGCTCTGCACCACCCAGTCCTACTGAAAGAATATGGGCTGCAAAAAGTTCTCACTTCTGTAGCAGATTGCCTGAGCTACTCTGGCCTTATTACCACTCCCGGTATGTTGTTTGAGATACATGACTAACAGTTACGAACAATAAAGCTACTCCTAAGCTTTACAGAGAATCTCCACAGCAACAAATACCGCTGCAAGCACAAAATACACTGGGACAAGCATTCCCGAACAGGCAGCATTTGAATGCACTTGGTCATAAGGGCGCAGGTGCCTGGAACAAACACCACCTGTTTAAGAGAGGTCTTTGTAAGTCACAGAGGTACTGAAAATACACTTACCTGATCAGGTATAAAGTGAATCTGCATTACAGTATTGTTTTCTTCATGTAAACCCATGAACTCCACCCCAGGAGCACCGTATCTGAAGGGTTAGTTGAGGATCTACAGTATTTAAGATGACCCACAGCTACAATTAATTGGTAAGAAGCTTGTTAGCAAGCAACATGAAAAGAGCTTAGTTTGAAACCATATTTTACTGTTAGTAATCTGGACTGAAAAGAACCAATGCAAATCTCCTTTGCTTTTATATGCTTGTGGCAGGTCACACACACTACAGAACATGGAAGCTCACTTCATACTCCTTTGAGGGTATGCAGAAGAGGTGCCTGGACCCTCAGCTTTCCCAGAGATGTTTAGTGGTGGTTTGCCAGGCACTACAATCCTGCCTGATTTGTAACCAGGAGACAGATGCTACCGCCCGCTTGTGGAGCCCAGCCTCCGAACACAGACACACCAGGAATGAATGATGAAGCAGGCAGTGGGAACACCAACTTTTCCTGTCTGGGCTGAGTGATTTGCCCGTTTTACAGCTTGCCCAGCTGGTGCCGTGCCTCAAGAACCACACATTGCAATGGGACTGGACATAGCTAAAAAAGTCACCACCTTCAATGCTTAGGTCTATAATGCCGGGAGGGTGGAGCCTCAGGATGAAGTGTTCCTGACCCCAGGTTTAACCTGGGTGACAGAACTGCTGGTTTTGGTTTTTTTTGGGGGGGTTTGTTGGTTTGTTTTGGTTTTGGTGTTTTTTTTTTTTAAAAAAGGAAATCTGCCACAAATATCTACCCAACGCTGGAATTTACAACAGAAAGGGCTGCTAAATGCAGGCCAGATATAGTCTGACCTTCTGCAGAGCAACAGCAAAGAGTCTTGTCTAACATCCGCATTGGTTCAGCTTCTGTTGGAACTATACTTCACCTCTGGGCAAGATAATCCCATTCTGATCAGACCAAAATCACTTCAAACCTAGGCAAACTGTTCCTCATTCAGGTAACCCTTGCCTGCAGATTTATACTCAGTCTAATTTTTTATAGTCTCTTCAAAATTGCACGTTCTGATGTGGTCAGAGAAACCCAGCCAAAGTTGTCCAAAAGATACAGTTTAATGGCTCCCGATCGCGTTCCAATGGCCATGAGGCGGAGAAACGGGCTATAGCCCAGTGCACTAGGTTGATGGGGAAATCCATGTTCCACAGTCTGGCAGGGAGAAAGAAAAGATTATGATCAGCATGTTTCAAGGGCATTGTTGTACACAGACAAAAGCCAGAAGTTAAATATGGTGGAGCAGTCTGAAACATAGCACTAATGGTACCTTTTCTGTTGAAAAGTGTTAAAAAGTAGGTTATATTTGCTCAACCAGAGCCTAAGGATAAATCTATTCCAAGAAGCCAGGATGTGCAGAAGTGTAAATGAAATGAAAGAATAGTCTGAAAACAGTAACCCAAGCAGCTCCTTATGTTAAGGTTATAAATAATTCTGCATTAGCACAGCTTACTCAGCCACCACACTGATCACTCCGCATCAACTTTGTATCTGTAAACCAACCGCTCAGCACGATTTCAAAGTCTGACAAAAATACTGCAGCTGTATCTGCCGAATTCCACACGGGTCAGCCTGCATGACCTCCTCTTGCTGACTGACATCAAGAAACAGTACAAATCTATGAAGAACTATTGGGTGAACATCAGTGCTTTTCAAGAAAACTAACAGATTTTCTATGGGGCAGTCAAGAAATGTAAATGGTAGAATTCTTCACTAAGGAAAAAATTCTTCCCTGTGAGGGTGCTGAGGCGCTGGCACAGGGTGCCCAGAGAAGCTGTGGCTGCCCCATCCCTGGCAGTGTTCAAGGCCAGGTTGGACACGGGGGCTTGGAGCAAGCTGCTCTAGTGGAAGGTGTCCCTGCCTGTGGCAGGAGTTGGAGCTGGAGGAGTTTTAAAGGCCCTCCAACTCAAACCAGTCTGGGATTCTATTGTGATACTCATTTTTCAGAGCAGCACAAGGAACCCTGGAATTTTTCTGGAGCAGGAGCCTGCTAGCACACCTCAGAGTCATTCAAAGCCATTTTGTACTGAAAAGATGTCAGTCCCTAACATGGGAAACAGTGCGTTGCTTGGCATCAGTGGCTTCCCTAAAGGGCAGTTTACCCTGTACCAAGCAGATTTGGAGCATGTTGTACACACCACACTTAGCATCACTGATACATTCACACACTATGCAGTAATACGCTGCCAGGATGCGACCAAGCTGTTTGTAAAATAGCTCAGACAAGTTTTTAGAAGTGCTAATGTACAGCGATTATCATTGTTTAGACAAAACAAGTATGCATGAGTGTTCAACAACATGCAGCATGTGAAGAGGGTGACTTCCAAGAAAACACTGTTATTGTTACCATCCCAGCTTCTGCAAAAATATGTTCTTCTAAGGCAAACTGCTCAGCTCCAGAACAGGACTTTGTAACAAAACAGCACAGGAACCATTCACAAAAAAAAAATAAAAACAAAAATATAATAAGCAGAGAACCCTCTTTCATCTAGAAAAATAAGCACTTGTACCTCACTGCCACCCTCTTTTCCATCATGTCTTTGAGACAGAGCTCATCACTTGGCTTTATGGTTTATTCAACCTAAAAGTAACATTTTATTTCCTGGATAATGATCTGGATAGTGATAGTGGTAGCCAGTTTCATTTCTGTGGTCACCTCATTAGCCTGAGGTGCCCCCAGTTGCTGGAGCAGTTTAATGCCTTTTTACTGCTCCCACTCAAAGACATGGGCAGAGGAGGATGTGGCTGACTCCAGTCTACCAGACTGCTTCAGCTTTAGCCATTTAATCACAATTCATACACTGTAAATACAGACGTCTTTCCTCTAAAGATCAGCTACCCCAGTATGAGGTCCTACTAGGGGAAGATGAGCCATTCTAGGGATAAAAAACAGGAAATATTGGATCATTTCCCAGTTTTCTGCTTATAAGACTGGGTAAAGGAGTAGATACTAATTTTTAGCCTTTTACATATAATAGATTAAGATTAGTAGCACTGGCTCCAAGAGCACTGAGCTTAATTCCCTTTATGATAACTTAATCTCATAGTTAATCTCCAGCCTCACTTATTTATATTCTAAGATGATAATTTAAGTGTTAAGTTTGTATTATTAAAAACAGATGTTGACAAGTCAATCTTTTTAATGTCACTTTTGCTTAGCTACACATGTAAAACTTCCTAGAGGAGACTATGAAATCAGGAACTTATCTATGGACGTAGCATTGAAACATGGCAATCTTCCGATCCAGCACAGGCAAAGAGGAACTTCTCCGTACCACAATAGCTACTGAGACAACACAGAAAAGCTTCCTTGTTGTGGAAGTATGAAGTGATGGCATACAATTCTGAGAAGAAGCTTCAAGGTAACATGTTGTCTTGACAATAAATCAGACATGTCATTGATCAGGTGTAGCATGGGCAATAGACACCATTCCCCTCTCCCCCAGAAGAGAGTGAGGAACTTGTTAGGGAGACACCAGTGTAATTCCACTGTTACTTTTAGTTTCAACTTGTTCACAGTCACTATCCTGTCATCACCACAGCTAGGTGCCATTTTCCATGAAACATCAATTAAAAACAGTGTTTATTCTGAGATTTCTTCAAGCCCAGAAGATAAGGCTTTAAGCCACAGTTCTCATAATAAACAAACATGATTTACACAATACTCTACTGCCTGTTAGGAAGCTGCCAATACTAGTCTTAATATTGGCCTAATTGTACCTTGGGTTTGATCTGTTAATTTGTAAACACATTAGACAAGTCAATAAAAGCTTTAATTTTCAAGTATGAGACCTATGAACTGCATACCTGAGTGTACACCATTCAGTAATAATAACAGGAGGGTAAGTTTTTCTCCAGTTTTTCCTTCAATAGAACATTTCAAGTACCTCCCCCATCCTAGACAAATTTGCAAAAGCCACAGTAGCTATTATATCCAGGAGTAAACTGCTAGTAACAGAAGACCACTGCAGAAAATAGCATCACATGCAGAAGCACAAGAACAGTGTTAGTAACAACCACAGTGTGCTACGCAACTGCTTATGCAGTAAATGTACTAATGGTTTCTGACAGCTCTGCATCTTCACCAAGATGCCTGCAATACAACGAAAGTAACTCCCTCCTATGTCACTCATTTGTTTCCCCAGCAGGGCAAGAAAGGCATCGGGGTGGCTTTTGGGCTGTACTGGCCATCAGTGGGGCCAGGCACTCCCATTCACTGTACTGCCTACCCAGCTCTCTCCTGTACCTGCACCCAGCTGTTCAATCACATTGAGTCACCTTTCCTGCTGGCCTCTGCCCTCCCCTCCCCTGGGCAGCATTCCTTCACCTGCTCAGCAGGTAACCCCAGTGAGGGGCCGGGGGGGGCAGAAGGCAGGGGAGGCGACAATGGAGCCTTTCAGCAGAGCTGAAATAAGAAACCAGGGTGCCCAGGACGAGCCCTTCCTCTCAAAAGGGCTTTGTTTCCCTGAGGAAAGGTGGGAGCTTTCCTTTTCACTTTCCTCAGACCACAGACGGGTCAGCCCCGGTAAAGGCGAGCCCAGCCTCAGCGGCATTCACTAACAGCGATGCCTCATTCGGTCTCATTTACCGCAGGAAGAGCGCGGCCGAACTTCCCAGCTGTTCCCAGCCCACACTGGAGCTGCGCAGACGAAACTCAGCGCTGGCTCCCGCTTTCGTTTCTCTCCACTTCTCCTCTCAGATTGTTTTATGACAGAGCAGAGACAATCCCAACCACAGGCAATACAAGCCCCGTACCTTTGTTAAGATGTCTTTGGAAGAAACAATGAAGCCTGTATGTGTTAAATCTACTTTGCATAGACACTAATTCAGATTTAATGCAAGTTATCCATTACGCCCATTAGCAAAGGGTTAGGAAGAATGAAAGCTGGGGGGGGGGTAACACAAAGCCATAAATTAAATGCAATGTTCCCAGTTTGGTAACATTCAGCTGTAAGACAGGCTGGTTCACCTGTGTCTTACCCATCATCTAGTCTGACAATGCCAGCCTGAACATGTTTGTTCTGCAGGGCTTGGACAGAGCCAAAGGCATCCAAATACTACTTCCAAAAGCAGAATAAACTTAAAAGATGTAGGCTGCCAAGTCCACATACCTTATCCTTCATTCTATCCACTGAGCTAAAAACAGTTTCTTGCAACAGGTACACACAAGTATGGGAAGTTCTTACTCATACAAACAGATATGCAAAGCTGAGTGACTGGCAGAATTCAGGAAGGTGTTTTGTGAAACAAACACAAGTTTGAGGATAGTTTAAAGAGCTAGTCCAGTGGTCAATCAGTCCTTTAAAACCACCTGGATGACCTCTTATCTGCAAGAGAAATGCAAAGGGGCAACAGCAGAAAGATCACAAGCTATTTATACTCAGGGGAGTAAATGATTGAAAAAATCAACCACCACCACCAATCAGAAAGTCTTCTTAAACTGAAATCCATCACTAGGTCAGCATGGCCTAGTCGCGATACCAACTTGTGTGGTATCACACAATCATATTCAACTTCAGTGTAAACAACAAAACGAGGGCAGGAATCCCCAGCACTTTTAAGGTACAGACCTTGCTTTAGTCACTACCAGCACCACACACCAGAGGTGCAAACACACCATCCCATTGCTCTCATCAGCAACTTCATAGTCCCACAAAATATTTCCCAAGCAGGGTCTTAACCAGAAGTGTTTCAAAGACCTCAAACAAGTGTTTAAAAACTTGCTCACCAGCACTAATGCTCTTGCTTTACCAGCACATAAGGGGAGGACAGTCTTAGCACACAAGGTGCTATATTTCTTGGCAGCTTGAAGCCACAGCCTTCAACAGTCTGACTTTAGCAGATCTTCTCAGTCTACCTAGATGTGAGTAGATGTTTACTGTATTCAAAGGGTACAGGCTGTCAAATGACCCATTATCTCTGGAAACACCAGAATGGGACACACAAGACTTGGAAAATGAGACAACTTTATGCAAGAAAAAAGTATAATGTAAAAGATTCTGGTATAATGCAATGGTATAATGTTAATTCCCTTTCTGATTCTTGATAGACAAGAACAAGTTACTGTGAGTTAAAAGTGCAAACGTGTTTTGCAAGGCCTTTCATTACCAAGTTGCTAATAAAAATAAACCATTCAGAAGTGTCCAAAGTAGCTGTCTCCCTAGAAACAAGATGCAATATTTACCTTCAGGACTGAATCCAATGGAGTCACAAATCCTGATACCAACTTCTAATATATTTGGACATTTCCCTCTGCTGCAACAGCTGGTTCTTTCAACCCTGCTTTGCATCATCCAAATTAGCCTGTCTCTGACAGGTAAAGCTTAGCCAAGGTTTCTCATAAGAAAAGCATATTCAAGGAAGAGACATCCCTGAAACAGCAAAGGATTTTCCAAGGTATATACAATTTCATACACTTAAAAGCAATTTTGACCCATCCCTGGACGTCTTTTCTGAAGCTGACATTGCATTCAGCTGAATGCAAGCTACTCCATCCTGGTCTTCACTCCCTGAAATTTTTACTGTATCTGCATTAGCATTCCCTCATGGTAGCAAACAGAAAATAGGTCTGAACCACTCCTGAGTTCCTTTTGTCTCCCCAGTGGGAGGGAGGTATGCATGGAAATGGTGTGGTTTAGTACCAAATTACATTAAATCATCCATCTCAAATATCCAAAGTTCCACTTTAAGTCTATCTCTACACTACAATTTTAATGAATCAAAGAGGTTATTTCCTAGGCTGACTTCATTTATCCATTATACTTTTCAGCAAAATTCCATTTAAACCTTCGAAATACAAAACCTACAAATATATTTCTGATATCCAATAAAGGTGTAAGTAGCCATTAGCCTAGCAATGGATTAATAGCAGGCATTTACAAAGATGAAAGCACTATGTTCCTGGCCAGGGCTCAAAAGAAAAAGGCGCAAGAAAGCTGGATAAATAGCACAGCCATTGTTTTTCCCCTCTTCACAAAGGGGAGGAAAAAGCCTAGATACAGACTAAGATAATAACAACTTCATTATTAATGACCATTGTGCTGCCTTGGTGCCACCACATTTCTGCTGCAGACTTTTAAATTCGCATTTAAAAGCGGAGGTATACTTATAAACTCAAAGTATAAGCACAGACAAAGAACTCTGAATTCAGCTGCATCATAAGCTGTGGCTTTTGTGTAGATTTAGAAAATATACTTTCATAGTGGTGCTGCAAAGACTACCTGTAACGTAAGGAGTCACGGTACATAGCAGGACAAGCTACAGAATACTCAAGAGTATATAAAAGCTTCTGTGCAGATCTCATCTTAAAGCAAGTGCCACTCCACAGCGTGACAACATCCTTCCTAAAGGAGGAAAGCCAGAATTGAGAACAGGCTCATGAAGAAAACTCGTCAGGCACATAGGGAAAAAAAGGACAGAACTGAAAGAGAGAACAAACCACCTCTCCTAAATATAACTTTTCCACCCACACTCTAGGAGTTTTCCCTCCCGTTTGCGCTGTGCAGTGGCTCAGGAGGGATCTGCCTTGCACACATGTGCCGTGGAGTTTGAGGAAAGCGCCGTACCTTGTTAAACTGGAAAAGGTCGCGTTTAAGCCTCTCTCTCACTGGATCATGTCCGGGTCTTAAGAACCTTCTCATCTTCCTCGCTGTAGTATCTTGGCAACAAAAATCCTAACAAAAAAAAAAACAACCCAAAGCCATTAAACAAGAGCAGCCTGAGAAGCAGAGGAAGGAGGCTGTTTAGTTTGGTTTAGCAGGTAATACAAATCGGCCAGAACACAATGAGACAACACCACTATCGAGTAACAAAAACCTGATCCCACCGGAGCGGCACGGTACCATTTTCACAGCGCTAAAGCAAACCGTCACGGATCAGCCAAGAGGATTTTAGAAGAGTTTTTACACTTGGCCATTCTGTGACCACTTCAGACAAGCAAAACTGCAGCATTTGCATAAACATTCAGGCAAACCCACTCTAAAGGCTGACTCCGGGGCTCACAGGCAGCATTCAGTAGTATCAGTTTTCAGGCCAGGTAACCCTCCAGCTATGCAGCTAAAAGAGAAAGAATGGCACTTTGGGCTCACTCCATGGGGACAGCAGGAAGGCGCTGCACTGCCTGCGGGTGCCTGCAGTAATTATTAACTTGCTGTGGTGAAAACTCAAGCCTAACTCCCTGCTCAAGGTGGGGGCAGGGAAGGAAACCTTGCACCTGCAGTTCAGTGCAGAGCTCTAAGCACAAGCCTTTCAGTGGATCTCACTGCACTGGGAGAGTCCAAGCAGGACAGATCAGACCTGACCTGCAACCCAGCAACCACACTGGAGGGACCAGGCTACAGCCTCATACTCAAGAGTACTCAAGATTCCTTCTCACATCTCCCTTCTGCAAGTAAAGCTCTGCCAACTTTAAACTGACAACTCACCTTGGCAAAAGCACTCCTGCCTGCCCCGACCACCTCTCACAAGCTCCAGTTCCCAGTGCACAGCAAGCTCAGCTGGTCATGAAGCAGCTACAGGACACTCCAGTGAGTATTTTAATTTGTTGGACAGGAAATTACTGCAATTTACCAGCTACTCCATACACAACACATGCACAGTGGGGGCCAGCACCACTGAGGCGCAAGGAAGAATCAATATAAATGCCTTACAGTAACCCACCATCAGAAGTGGTACAGCAAAGTGGGGAGCAGACTAGTGTCGCAACTGAGAGAGGGACCAGGAGCATCAAAGGGTCTGTCAAGTGATCAAGGGCCTTGGGGCCGGAGGGTGATGGAGAGACAAGAGCTTTCACAGCGATCTGTACGGAGGGGAGCAGCAGAGCTGGCAAACAAGGTGGCTGTCGGTGTGCTCCTGCCAGTGAGGATGGTCTTTGGTTAATGACTTCAACCAGTGTCCTGGGTTCAGCTGTAGCAGGAGCCAGCTGCTCCAGAGGAGCTTAAACTGTTTTTTAGGTTTCTGCCAAAGCCTTACCAGCTGTGAAGGACCAGAAAAAGGAAATGGTATTATAAACAGGATGCTCCATAGCTATACTTTGAGAAGTCCCTTTAGAAACTCCCTGAGCTAGAACTCATTATCTCTGTGTTGCACTACCACCCAAAAGGGTGGTTAGCTTTCCTGCTCACGCCCCAAGACCTCCAGCCACCCAGGCAGTGCTGTCCAGAGCTCACCAAGAGGAGTGCAGTGCAGTCCTGGTTCAGAGGGCTAGAAGATCCCATCAGCACCAAGAGCCTGAGACACTTAGTCCCCACCTAGAATCACTGACATCTCCACTTGCCACAGAGCAAAGTGACTCTGAGCCGTGGCCCATGCCATCAGCACATTCAGGGCTGAATACTCACAGGAACACATATAGCATGGGATCCCTGAAAAGAGAGGAATAGTAAAAGTGTGGTTTACTTGGAAAATATATCCTTCTGTAAGGATTTAGGTACCACACCTGAGTTTTCAAAACTGCATCAGACATGTCTTCTTCCACGAGGCATTTCTGAGAGAAACAAAGACTTATTTACCCCAGGTTAGCAAAAGTTGCAGAGCAGTGACAAGCTGCTGTGCTATGCAAGGAGAGCACATCACACCCATGCACAAGACAGTTTCCCCTTAGCCAGACAAGGAAAGGAAGGTGCCAGACGCACCCTTTCCCACTGTCAGTCAATATCCTGGACCTGTTAAACTGGGCAAACCCACAGAGAAACTCAACTCAGTATGCTCCCCAGTTCAGAGACCTCCTCAGCTTTGACAGCAGAGGCAAACCCACAGTTACGAGCCCAGGAGAGTGGGTTTGATTTGAGAGACACAGCTTCATATTTAACACCCTCCTGGAATGTTGTATCCTGAAATATTAATCGCACCCAGAAGCACACTGTTTTAACCTGCTTATGCAAGAGGTCTCACATTCACACTCCAGCCCACAACAACTTGCTCAACTGGCTAAGGAGCATTAGTAGTTGAGAATCAGACAGTAACTCACTTGAAGAAATGCCATCCTGGCAAGCTGCTGTGTCCATTACCATCAGAGCAGCCACGATGCAGAAGCCAGCTCTCATTGACTTGGATCGAGGTTTCATGCCCAACCAAAGAACTCCCAACTGTCACAGTATGGGAGGAGGCAAGAGGTAAAGACATTTTGAGCAAAGGCAAGGAAGGAACAGCGAAGAGAACGGCCTCCACTGCAGCACAGGTTGTTCAGGTGGAATTGTTACCACCATTTACAAGGCTCTTGTCAATGAGATTTTTCAGTACAATAATAAAGTGCCTTCTCTAATTCTAGGAAACCCAAAAGATCCCACAGTCTGCATAACCCCATCTTCCAGGTGCACACTTACATACTGCAGACCAGTTTCTCTCCCACGCACCTTCAGTGTCTTACATAAAACTCTGTCCCATGTGCTCTGTAGTTATCTGCCAGTCAGCATTTACAGCCATATGGTAACAGTTGTGGCTGCCAGTAGCCTCTGAAGCCATGCCAGGTCTGCATGTATCTGATGTTCCTATTTTCCAGGGAAACAATGCAGTAGCTTCCAATGATGAGGGTTTTTAGCAGAAACTGTGCGCAACATTCCCCTCTAGAATGCCTTGGGGTCAGCTGCTCATGGGCAACAACAGCCCAAGGCTGAGCCAATCCCGATTTTCCTTATCTTGAGTACCTGGACACTTGACAGCAAAGCCCGGGGTGCTCTGTACATAGATCTTCTGCCACTCTGTCAGCTGAATGCTCTGCTAAATACTATGACGCACCCATTTTCACCTCATTTTATTAGATGCAGCCACAGAACAAAACCTTTTCACTATTCAGAGAGGAAGGCAATGAAAGCATGAGTTGCAAGATGATCCTGTTTCCAGTCACAGACTAAGGACCAGTTAACATCGAAACCAGGTTTCAGTCCAGCTTCCCTGCTCAGGAGGGAAGATGTTGAGATTTATGACAAGTACACAGGCCACGTGCCAGGACAGGTCATGGAGCACAGACCATCCTGAGCGAGATCACACAGCATGTGTGGGAAAAAGGAGGACAAGGCCTGGTCAGTAAGGGTTCATGTAGGTCCTGCTTAACCAACCTGATCTCCTCCAGCAACAAAGTGACCCGCCTGGTTGATGAGGAAAAGGCTGTGGACATTGTCTATTTGGACTTCAGTAAAGCATTGTACACCGTCTTCCACAGCGTTTTCCTGGAGAAACTGGCTGCTCATGGCCTTAAGAGGTGGATTCTTCGCTGGGTTGGAAACCGTCTGGATGGCAGAGCCCAAAGAGTGGTGGTAAATGGTGTCACATCTAGTGTGTGACCAATCACTACTGGCGTCCCTCAGGGCTCAGTACTGGGGCCAGTGTTGTTTAACGACAATCTGGATGAGAGGATCGAGGGCAACCTCAGTAAATGTGCAGATGACACCAAGTCGGGTGGGAGTTTTGATCTGCTGAAGGGTAGGAAGCTCTGCAGAGGGATCTGGACAGGCTGGATCCATGGGCTGTAGCCAATGGGATGAGGTTCAAGAAGGCAAAGTGCTGGGTCCTGCACTTGGGCCACAACAACCCCCTCAACGCTCCAGGCTTGGGGAAGAATGGCTGGAAAGCTGCTTGGTGGAAAAGGACGTGGAGGTGCTGATTGATGGAGCTGACCATGAGCAGTTTGTGCCCAGGCAGCCAGGAAGCCCCCAGCACCCTGGCCTGTCCAAGCACCAGTGCAGCAGCAGGGCCAGGGCAGGGATTGTGCCCCTGCACTGGGCACTGGTGAGGCCGCACCTCGAATCCTGGGTTCAGCTCTGGGCCCCTCACTACAAGAGAGACATTGAGGTGCTGGAGTGGGGCCAGAGAAGGGAATGGAGCCGGTGCAGGGCCTGGAGCACAGGAGTGATGGGGAACGGCTGAGGGACCTGGGGGGTTCAGTCTGGAGAAGAGAAGGCTCAGGGGGGACCTGATGGCTCCCTACAAGTGCCTGAGAGGAGGATGGAGCCAGGAGGGGCTGGGCTCTGCTCCCAAGGAACAAGGGATGGGACAAGAGGAAACGGCCTCAAGCTGCACCAGGGCAGGTTTGGATGGAGCTGAGGAACAATTCCTGCCCCAGAGGGTGCTCAGGCATTGGAACAGGCTGCCCAGGGCAGGGCTGCAGGCACCGTCCCTGCAAGTGTTCACACAGCGTGGGGACGAGGCCTCAGTGCTATGGGTTAGGGGTGGCCTTGGTTGGACTGGATCATTTTAAAAGGTTTTTCCAACACAGCTGATTCTATATTCAACAAAGCCAAATGTTTTTTCCTAGGAGAAGCATCAGTTGTTCCTCAGTGCTGTGTGTTAGCAACCACAGAATCCCAGACTGGTTTGTGTTGGAAAGGACCTTAAAGTTCCAACCCACTGCCACAGGCAGGGACACCTTCCACTAGAGCAGCTTGCTCCAAGCCCCATCCAACCTGGCCTTGAACACTTCCGTCCCAGAGATCCACATTTTGCTTTGTCTTCATTGCTTCTGCATGCAGCAATTTGTCTTGATGCCCATGCACAGCTTGCTGAGACACTGTGGATTTTCTCTGTCAGTCAAGCATAGGCTGGTGGGGAATTACTCTTCATAGAAACTTGTTGCCAGTTTTGCTTATATCCTCACATTACTATGGAATTTCCAGCCAAAAGTAGGAGAGAACCAATGTTGTAAGTCACAACCACACAAGTTAATCCAGTCTTGCAAGGCAATGAAAGTCAGCAGTTTTTACTATGTAGACAGTATTAAGCGTGGATACAGTCCCAAGTTAACCCCACAACAAAAACATACCCATAATGAGTTTATTTTGCTTACAGAGGAGAGTTGCAAGGTTCCATCTATGTGATTCCTGAGAAGCCTTTACGTTACTTGCATGGGTTTTCAATGGGGTAGGGTCCAACAGCTTTCTTTTCCAAATACCATCAAGTATCTCAAGAACTCTTCAGTCTTGCCTTGCTTAAGGTCTCGTTTTCATTCCTTCCTCACCACCCCTTCCTGCTCACAGGTCCTTAAAGTGAGAACTTCTCCCTGTGTATCTGATAATACTTTATCAACCCTGCTAAAATAAAAGAGGCCTTTCTTATCAACAAGCTTTGTTTGAACTACAAGCAGTGAGTGCTTTTGTAACAAACAGGCACCATGGTGGCCTTGTCTGAACCAAGTTTCCTCCCGCACCCAGAAATTTGCCTTGTTCCTGTTGCAACAGGAACAGTCAGCAGCAACAAGAACAAGACAGAGGCCAGATCAATCACACAGGAAAAAGCTATTCCTTAGCACCAAGGATCTCACAACCACCAAAATGATCATTTAAATGCCCCACATCAGGTTTATAGATGGCAGGAACCATCAGACATGACTCATTGTGAAATTACAATTTTAAGAACACTTTTAGCTTGAACTCAGTGAAACAGCCCCTTGCTACCCTTTAACTGGGCTGTCACTGAAGTTCATCTCTACAACCAGTCACGGCTGTAACACACCATCAAGACAGACACTCGAGAAGAAAGCACAAACCAAGCAGAACAGCTGGAGGCAGAGATGGAACACTTGCAGTCTGTGGAAAGCTTGGAAGTGTAAGATACCACCCCCTTTTCCCAGGATAAGGCTTCACTGGTAAGATGCTCTAACAACAGTAATCTAACAGTTCAATGAGACCATGCACAGCTCCCCTGTACACAACACCAGCTCCCATGGTTCTATAAACAAGAGTGTTGAGATGCACTCTGCATGCAACAGTCAGGCAGGAGCAGAGAGGTAAACCAGCAGATCCTCCTGTAACAAGGAGTTACTTCTGCCAACGTGGAGAGACAAGAGTTAAATGAACAGCTGAGCAGACTGTGTCTGACACCCCATGCATGGGGCTGCCCTCCCAAAACACAGAAAATAATAAATCAGAGAGAGATTCCCCAGCAACTCTCGGAAAATAACTGAGAACCCATCATACAAATCAGGAGAGCTCATGTACTTCCACAGTTTTGTACTTGGAGTTACCAGGGACCACCCACTTGCACTGAATTTACTAACTGTGCAAACCTTGTGTGTCACGGTTCCCAATGTGTTCTTGTCACAGGAGCATGACAACGTGAAGTTTCAAAAAGCTACAGCAGAGCAGTCTTTGCACTGAACACTATCGTACAAGATGCAAAACTCTTTGTCTGCTTCAGCTGAGAAGTGTGATTCAAATGGAAGAGCAGCGTATGACTTTGGAACAGCATTTTACACCAAACTTGGTGGGTCCATGCAGTAAACCAGGAAAGCATTTGCTTCTTACAGCGACACAAAGAGATGTAGCTAGAAAAAAACTTTTAGATGAGAACTGGAGTTTCCATAGGATTTTCTAGATGTGTTTGGATTAAAGCTCATCCAGTTCCAACCCCTGCCACAGGCAGGGACACCATCCATTAGAGCAGCTTGCTCCAAGCCCCGTCCAAGCTGGCCTTGAACACTGCCAGGGATGGGGCATTTACTTATTCCAGATTTCTGCACAAAAATCAAACTTTGTTACCACCAGTCCCTCCTCTGATAGACTGTTTTAAGGAAAAAATCAGGCTACAAGCAGTATCACATACTTTTACTGCCATGTACTAACTGTATTACATGTGTTAATTGCTCTTACTCTTTGACATCTCTCAAGCCTCTGTATCAGCCAAGGAAAAAACCCACACCTATTCCATAAGCAATTCCGGGTAATCATCACATTGCGGCACCAAGAAGCCACTGGAAGATACAGGACTCTCAACAGGGTTAACTCCAATATTTTTTTCAGTCAGTAGTTAGAGCAGATGCAATTTGTTCAAAGCCAAATCAAAGCCATTCCTCTGCACCATCCCACGGGTGTGGTTGAGAACTTTCCTCCCTTTTCAATACCATGAAGTAAACGGAGCCTCTACAAATGGAGTGGCTACAAACAGCACTGCTTACAACTTGCACAGACCATCCCTGTCCCCTCCGTGGGCCAGGCTGTATCAACAAGAAACGTGCCAGGATACACATAAAAGCCTTGGGACATATCCTCCACTTTGCATCCCACTTACCAGAAGCACCAGCTTCCCGAATCAAAGTTAGAATATCTAGGTAGCTGCTCTGGGCACAGAGCTTCACCTGGGACTCGGTAAAGCAAGATATTCCAGTTGACTGCAGTGCTCTGGGATGACAACAAAGAGCAGCATTCCCCACGGAGTAACACGTTACAACGGGCAGCTTCCACATCTATTATCTCAGCGAAGCTGCCCTCCCGCCTTGTCACTATGCTCACATGAATGCAAAGCTTCGCGCTGCTCCGCTGCAGAAGCCTGCTTCAGCATTGACACCACGAACAGTAACACACACAAAACTTCCTCCAAAGCCAAGGCTAAGCCTCACCTCCAGGAGAGGAGACTTCGGAGCCAGCTTGTTCCCAGGCCACAGCCGCAGGACAACCCCCGACAAAGGCTTAAGCAACCGGATTTACCTTCTTGTGCCACCTGCTTGCTGCTGGACACAACGTGCTCCCTCACTCACGAAACGCTTCCAGTTCTGGAACGGAAACCCCCGGTAACGCGGTACCGATGATACGGGCACGGCTTCGACAGAAACAAGAAAATCCGGAGCCGTCACAGCGCGTCCCACAGGGAGCGCGGCGAGTCCCAGTAACGCAGCTGCTCCGAGCCGGCCGTACACGAGTCCCGGGAGGCGGCCGCGGGCAGGGGCAGCCCCAGGCGGTGACGGGCCGGTTCCCGCTGCCCCGCTCAGGCCCCGGAACGATCCCGGCCGGACCCACTCGCGCCCGGGGCTAAACCAGGAAGTGCCGAAGCCGCGACCTCCGCCACCAAGTCCCAGGATGTAAAAACTGCCCAAGTCCCACGGGGAGCCGAGACCCGAGTCCCAGGCGCGCCCGGGGCTCCAGGTGCTCGCCGGAGCCGGGCAGCGCGGGGGGCCCGGGCACCCGCCGAGGTGGGAATCTCGGGGGCGGAGGAACGGGCCCGCCCCCCCGGCGGGGATCCGGAGCAAAGTCGCGATAGGCGCGCAGGGGCGGGCAGCGGCCGTCCCGCCGCCGCGATCCGCGCCAGAGCCGAGCCGGCCCGGCCGGACTCCCGCGAGATACCCCCGGCCCCGCGGAGCCCCAGCGAGCCGCGCTCACCTGCGGGGCTGGAGCCGCCCGCCCCGGCCTCGCTCCGCTCCCGATCCGCTCCCGCGGCAGCGGCCGCGCTCCCCGGGCACCTCCGGGACGGGCGCGGCGGGGCGGGGCCTCGCGCGGGAACCGCCCCGGGGGGGTGGTGCGGGGCCGTACCGCAACGACGCGCGCTGCCATCGGGGGCGGGGCCTCGCACGCAAATGAGGCAGAGCCGGGGCCAACCACCTCTCGCTCTGTCATGAATAATTCATAACCCCGCTCCAGCGGGGGCCAATCAGAACGCGGATACGGCCACGCGCTGCCTGCCTCCAGGAGAGCGCACCCCCGCCCACCCCGGGGCCGCGGCGCCAGGAGCTGCGGGCAGAGCCCGGCTCTGCTGCCACCAACGGAGCCCAGCCAGCGGCGCGGCACAGCCCGAGCGCTGCCAACCCGCGCCCAGGCCTGGGATTACCTCCGGAACGGGACCCCGCGCGTCAGCCGAGCTTCCCAAACGGATGTGCTCCTGCTAACGTGCGCGTTTCTGTCATCTTCTTGCCACATCCAGCCGGTCCGCGTTGCACCGGTACCAACCCGCATCACAGCCCCATCCCGGTGCAGGCTCCCTCAGTCTGTGGCGCTGAGCAAGGCAGCCACAGTTTCCCAATCCTCCCTGCAGCAGTTATTAAATGGTAATTGTTTTGTGCTGAATCAGGGAGTCTGCCCCAGCGAAACTCACTGGGTGGCTCTCGTAGAGTTCATCGATACAATTCCACCTTGGCATAAGCAGATGAGACTGACTGAAATCAACGGGAGTGAGTCTAACCTAATTCCAGGACAAACGCTGAGCCCCATGGGTCAGGCTGCAGCTCTCCTGGCTGTGCCTGTTCTTAGAAATTCCCTTCCCAGTGCCTTTAAACTGTGCAGCGCTCTGGGAGAACGCTGAGGCCAGTGGCTGGAGCTGCCAACCCCGTATCTGAAGAGGACTATCAGAGCAAAAGCACCTTTCAGAGGAGGGAGAAAGAGGAAGGGGAGGGTGTGTGGGAGGGGCCTTCAGACCCTCAGAGCCTTGCTGACTTCCAGCACCTGAAAACAGGTGTGTGTGCATGGAACAGGCCTAAGGGCAGTACTCCCTGCAGCAGATCCCAGCCACCTTGAGCTACAACACTGTTGACCATGCAGGAGCTGCAGGTGGCATGTACCCACAGGAGCTGTAGATGGACACAGGGGCTCCTGCCCTCCCGGGCGGCAGCACCTGGATCCAAAAGCAGACGGGCACAAGAGTGGGGTTACACAGCCATGCAGCTGTGTGACCACAAGCAGGAATTCACCAGCTGGTGGTAGTGGGGTCCCAGTAGCCTCCACTAAGCATCTCCCTCTGCATAGCTTCTGGGGAAATTAAGAACCATGCTGAGAAGCTTCTATTGTTGGAAAAGGCTTTTTTATTGCTTTGCCTCCTCTCCCTCTCAACAAAGGAATTAAAAAATTAACAAATAAAATGCATCTAAACCAGTCACTATCAAAAACCTGGACACTGGACGCCCTGTGGTCAGCAGAGTGGGGCCTGGCCCCTGGCACTTCTGCATAGAGGCTAAAGCAAATTCAGTACCTGAATAACCTGGTGGGAAGCTCCCACAGCAGGGCCTGGAACGCAGTGATGTCCTTTGTTCGGAGCACAGCAGCCACAGGACTGGAAGGTTCCTGAGGAATTTGTAGCTTCTTTCTTTACTTGGAAAACTCTCACTCACAAAAGACAAGACAAGGATCCACAGCCAGGAAAGAAAGTGCCAGGCTGGAACAGCAGCAGGATAGCACTGGTGAGACTGTTGGACACAGTGTGGTGATACCGGTGGCCAAACACCGCAGAGCTACTCTAGAATGAAGCTGGGGTGCCATCATCAAGGATCTGGGGCTTTCTGCGACCTCCAGCTGATGAAAGTGTGTTCAAGGCACAGTTTCCTGCTCTTAAATGCCTTAACCTTTATTCCGGGTGGCTGAGTTTTATGGCTGTGCCTTTTCCAGATCAGGATCTGATCAGATGGTTGTTGGTGCAGCTGAACAAGAGAGGCTCAGGCCACCACCACTGATCTGATCAGCTTATTCTGTCCCTGACTGACCTAAATGACTCTCCAACCACTCCACTGTTGTAGCACAGTGGTTCTTAACATGTGACAAGAGAATCACCAGCAGTGTTTTCTAATGGTCCACAGATTAGTGCAAGATGACACAGAAAAGGTGGACTAGTGGTCCACAAGATGAGAAAGTGGAGAACCAGTGGCTTCAAGAACAAAGCAGTGTGTATTCCAGTCGAGAAATGCCCTGCTAAGCCACACACATTTGCTCACTGTAAATTTTCCTATTATGCCTGAGCCAACTAGGTGGGTGAAGCCTAACTGTGAATAAAATGGTCAACTACCCAAGGTTCCAGTTCTCATAGGCTCTATTTTCTGCAATATTTCATTAATCAAGAAAGCAAATCCAGAGTAAATCTCTTCCCTTCATCCCATGCCATTTCTGCAAGTGACAGCAACTTCAGTGATTAACATCAACTGGCAGCTTGAATTCCTTTAGTGAATAGAAGGCAATTTCTCCATGATCCACCAGCGCAAAGACCACTGGGATGTCCCCACTCTGATATGTAACCTGCTTCAAAGCCCGGAGGGATGGGATCTGCTCATCAAAGCTGCAGGGAGAAAAAAATATCCTGTTGTTCTCAAAGTGAGAGGAATACAAAGTTGTCTTGGCCAGCAACCACGAAAGCTTGGGATTTGGTAGCAACCCTCCCCACCCCTTTCAGTCAAAGCAGGACGCTGCCTGTACTGCATGCTGGTAGCTGAGGGCTGTCAAATCCTTTGCCAAAACCAAGGGCAACTGCCCACTGCTCCACGCTGTGTTCATTAGATGCAGCTCACACAGCAACTGGCAAATTGCCAGCCCAGTGCAATCTTAATACCTTTGTGCTAGGCAGATCTTTAGGTTGCTGGGATCAACACCTGAGCTGTTTTTCCCTCCTTTAAAGTTTGCGGAGTCTCTTTGCTTGTAAATGAAAACATTTCTGCAGCAAGGATCATCCATCCTACTTGCTCAGGACAGACCTTTGTAAAACTGGATTACCACTTCCACTGCTCCCCTACAGTTGCAGAAAGTAGAGGAGGGACAATTTTTGTCTGTCAAAATTAGAAAAGGCAGACTGAACTCTGCCTGCAGAGTTTAAGTATCAGGTTGTGATCCAGCAAGAAAGGAGACACCTATCCCATGTTCATACTGATCCTGAAGTTACATTTGACAAAGATCAAAATACTAAAGCCATGTTCCTGAGCCTGTGGGAGGTACATGGCTGCAGAAATCGACTGGGATCTGTACTGGCTGAGGATTCAGGAACCATACAGCTCCCTGCAAACCTGAGCTCTACCTGAGTTCCACAAGCATTGCATAAACACAGCCGTGACTTCTTATCCCTGACTCTAGTAATACATGACATGAACAACAACCAGATGATGAAATAGTGTGGGCTGAATGCAAGGGGTGGGGAAATTGTCAGCCACAGCCTCCAACAAAGGAAGAACTGAGAGGTAAAAAGAATAATTCTGGGCAGGACCACACTCATGGGAGGCACTGGGATCATCTCTAAAGCTCACAAGATGCCAGGTCATTTACGCATCATTAAGACATCACTTCCACAACTGCAAATGTAATGTTTCAGAACACAGCCTAAGACCCCTGGATACCTCTGAACACACATCCTGACATACGGCTTCCCGGGGTTAGTCTTCTTAAACCGGGCCACAGCATCTGCTTGATACACATTGAAGTGGATTTTCATGCCCTCCGGGTCCTGCTGCAGCCTGCAGAAGAGAGAACACATCCACCTTCATATGGGATTGAAGTGCTATAGGATATTGACACAAAAACTCTAGAAGCCCAACTAGTTTGGGCCTTTGAAAGGCTTCACCCCCCCCCGCAGAGGACTGACCCTGCACCTGTTTCCATTTCTTCCTACACCAGAGCAAGCTCCTGCCCCCCACTTACCCTGCTCCCTCTTCTGCACCCCCCACCGCAAGAAGCATCGCTAAAAGAAACAAAGCCCTGCACTGCCCTACAGGGACCCCACACAAACACCATGCAGACTCTTTCAGTCAAGAGCAGAACCAAAAGTCCCAAAGGCAAGGTTTTATAATCACTCCAGCAGGGATGGCAGAACATTCCAGGGATGAGCTCAGGTGACACCCAACCAAACCTCTGGGGGAGATGACATGGCTGGGGTGCAGAGAGCGAACAACAGGAAAAGAGCAACCCTGATGTTTTATCTGGCCTTGAATGCCCCAGATCTGTGCTACGGGACCTGGTACCTCACAGAAATGTCAGCCACTCACTACAACAGGGTCCTGGAGCGCTGGAT